ATAGTGTGTTGGTATACCAATACCACGTGTACTGTCAGTCATGTATTATTGAATAACGAATAGTGTGTTGGTATACCAATACCACGTGTACTGTCAGTCATGTATTATTGAATAACGAATAGTGTGTTGGTATACCAATACCACGTGTACTGTCAGTCATGTATTATTGAATAACGAATAGTGTGTTGGTATACCAACACCACGTGTACTGTCGTGTTTTATTGAATAACGACTAGTGTGTTGGTATACCAATACCACGAGTACTGTCGTGTTTTATTGAATAACGAATAGTGTGTTGGTATACCAATTATTGAATAACGAATACATTTTTATTGAGTAAAAGCTACCGTGTTAGTATATTAATAATACGTAGACTGTTTCTTCTTGACACATGCTATATAAAAACCCAATGTTTTCCATGTTTACTAAGTTTATTATCGTAATATATAATGTAAAACGTAGCGTTCTCTATGTTGTCATGGAGATACTTCTTCCTGAAACATACTATATAAAAGCCTAGTGTTTTCCATGTTTACCAAGTTTATTTTGTAACATCCTATAATTACCTGGGGTTTTACATGTTGCCCCAAGTTTTTCTTCTAATGTACTGTGTATACCCAACGTTTTCCGTGCTGTAACTCATAATGTACTGAACCTTTCCACAGTTTTGACCAGTCTGTTAAGACTCTGTTCTGGGCTTTGTTTGGCATGTCTCCAGTTGAAGCAGTTGACATAGTTATGCTAGATTTAAGCAGTAGTGCAAAGTCTAATTCCACCTTTAATCAGCATGTTTTCACCGAGGGAGTCGGCCACTTTCTATATGCTGTCTACCATCTTCTCATCCTTATAGTTCTCGTTAACACACTCATTGCCATGATGACTAATTCATTTCAAAACATTGTTGTAAGTTCTTATGACATTTATTTATATGTTGCTAAATGCAAAATGTAGAAAAAATGGATAGCCTAAGACGTGAGAACTCTAAAAAACAAGTGATGAAATAAGTAAATAAAGTTACTTTTAATGATTACTGCAGTTCTCTGATTTCGTGTCTATGTATAGTAGAAAAAACCAAATATGTACCTTAACCTCAAATTAACTTTCAAAATCAATTATTTCTCTTTTACATCATTTGAAACGATGCTCTGTTAAACATATTTATATAATATAGATATGAAAAATAGTTCTAAGAATACCATTTTGTAATGACGTAAAACTTATAAAAATGGTAGAAGTAGTTTAAAGGAATGTATAAGTTCATTCAAAGTGGATCTAAGTAGATCATAGGAAGGAAAGAAATTATATCCCATTATGTCTCGAAATTGGATGGTGTAGTTTTGTATGGCAGCTCTATGAACTTTATTTATCCCAGATACACCTGTGGTTGAAACAAGCTAAGTGGTATCAGCGTTTGGCAACAAGCTCTAAAGATGTGACATGGTTTATTAAAGACTGAATCCTTGAAGCTAAGTGGAATCAGTGTTCGGCAACAAGCTCTGAAGATGTGACATGGTTTATTAAAGACTGAATCCTTGAAGCTAAATGGTGTCAGTGTTCGGCAACAAGCTTTAAAGATGTGAAATAGCTTATTAAAGACTGAATATTTGAAGCTAAGTGGTATCAGTGTTTGGCAACAAGCTCTTAAGATGTGTCATGGTTTATTAAAGACTGAACCCTTGAAGCTAAGTGGTATCAGCGCTTGGCAACAAGCTCTGAAGATGTGACATGGTTTATTAAAGATTGAATCCTTGAAGCTAAATGGTGTCAGTGTTCGGCAACAAGCTTTAAAGATGTGAAATAGCTTATTAAAGACTGAATCCTTGAAGCTAAATGGTGTCAGTGTTCGGCAACAAGCTTTAAAGATGTGAAATAGCTTATTAAAGACTGAATATTTGAAGCTAAATGGTGTCAGTGTTCGGCAACAAGCTTTAAAGATGTGAAATAGCTTATTAAA